CCCATCCCCCCATAGACCTAATGACTATTTTGTATTTTGCCTAACCATACACTTACCCTCTAAGGGGCTTGACAGTTTAGGTAGAGAAACATATATCCTATTTTTCAAAATTTGAGAAAATGGTTCAAGCTTTGAGGTTTTAAAGGAACAGACTTTAGTTTGAGACACCTTAGAAGTCATATCTATAAACTTCCCACAGTTGAAGTTTAAAACTATTCTAAAATCTAGAGTTGCAGATACGAGTTTACAGACAGTAGCTTTATATGGTTTTATGTGCTGCTGATAAACCATCTGTTCTGCAAATACCTTCATTTTCTAGTGAAGCAAACTTCTGCTTGGTTTGGAGCCAACAAAAGTTTGTGATCTGGTAGGAATTGATTTAGGAAAAAACTTGCACTCCATTACTCCATTCTCATTGTTTGATTCTGTATTTGCAAATTCATCTCACAAAAATATGGCTGCTTCTATTGGAAGTTTTTAAGACTGAATTGATAGGTGACATTTATTTGTGGGTACTAGATGTAGACTGGTTAATTGAAATTGCTTTTTTAGCCTTGAAGTTTTTCTCCATTTCTGCATTTATAATGAGACGTGCTTGGGTAAGGTCAGCTAAAGGATTGTATCTTGTTTACAGTATTTTGTCATTGATTATACAAGTCATGTACTGCTTAACAATGGGGATACATTCTGAGAAAATACATCATCAGGCAATGTCTTCCTTATGTGAACATCATAGAATGTACTTAACACAAACCTAGATGGCACTTTTATAGGACTGGCATCCCAGTGGGTTTGTTTATACCAGCATCACAAAGACATGAGTAACTTGTGCTTGGATTAGGATGGCTATGACATCACTAGGCAGTAGGAAGCTTTCAGCTCCATTATAATCTTACCAGAGGCCCAATGCACAGATTAATGCACCGGTGGGGTCCCTCAGCCTGGCATACGGGGACTGGGCAGAAACTGGCTCTCTGACATCCCCCAAGAGGTCCCAAATTGCGAGAGGGCGGTTCTGTGGTGACGCAGCACCCTGGAATCGGGCTCCCTCTCCAGTTCTGGGTTATGTCACTCGAGAACCGCTACTGTAGCTCAGCAGCTCCTGCTTTAAGTACCTGCCCCTTGGTGGTCAGTGCGTGTCATAGCTACTGGCCAGCTGGTTGCTTAGGCTTTTACATATATATGGGACCACTATCGTGTACATGGAATCTGTTAATGACTAAATGTCACTCAGTATATGACTATACTTTGCCTCCCATCAAACTATAGTCATGTGGCTGGCTTAACAATGGGAATACATGTTGGGGATCAGAAATGCATCAATAGCAAATTGTCTTTGTGTGAACATAGTGTGCACTATACAAACCTAGATGGTATAGCCCACTACACATACGGCTATATGGTATAACCTGGTGCTCCTAGGCTACAACCTGCACAGGATTTTACTGTACTGAATACTGTAGGCTATGGTAACAATGGTATTTGTGTATCTAAACAGAAAAGGTCCAGTAAAAATAGGGCATAAAAGATAAGATGGAATACCTGTATAGGGCACTTAATCATAAATGGAGCTTGCAGGGCTGGAAGTTGCTCTGGGTGAGTCAGTGAGTGCTTAGTGAATGGAAGGCCTAGGACAGCGGTTCTCAACCTGTGGGTCGCGACCCCTTGGGGGTTGAACGACCCTTTCACAGGGGTCACCTAAGACCATCAGAAAATACATAATTACATATTGTTTTTGTGATTAATTACTATGCGTTAATTATGTTCAGTTTGTAACAATGAAAATATATCCTGCATATCAGATATTTCCATTACAATTCATAACTAGCAAAATTACAGTTATGAAGTAGCAACGAAAATAATTTTATGTTTGGGGGTCACCACAACATGAGGAACTGTACTAAAGGGTCACGGCATTAGGAAGGTTGAGAACCACTGGCCTAGGACATTATAGTAGACTGACAACACTTAGGCTACATGAAATTTATAAACTTTTTTCATAATTAAACTTAGCTTACTGTAACTTTTTACCTTTGTCTTAATTTTTTGAATCTTTTATAATAACACTAAGCTTAAAACAAACACATTTTGTACGTCTGTACAAAAATGTTTTCTTTATATTCTTATTCAGTACACGTTTTTCCTACTAAAATTAAAAATTTTTAGACTTTGTTAAAAATTAAGACATAAACACAATTAGCCCAGGCCCATGGGGTCATGAGTATCACTGCCTTCTACCTCCATATCTTGTTCCACTGGAAGGTTTACAGGGGCAATAACATACATGGAGCTCTCATCTATGACAACAGTGCCTCCTGAAAACTTCCTGGAGGACCTGCCTTAAGGCTATTTCTGAAGCTGTTACTCTTCAAAAATTTGTCCATTGTGGTTTGCTGGGCTTGTTTTTCTACTGTAAGTATTCTTGTAAGCACACAGTACATCATGAACATTCCCCTTTATTGATGAAAACCTGTTAGGTGTTGGGGTCCATGTTTTCAAACTTTTTAAGGACCTTACTGAGATCTATATAAGCTACTATTCCCTTTACTGAGTTTTCTTGGGGGTGGTTCTTGTTCTGCAGTTTCCTTTTTCTTCTTCAGCTATGTGTTCCTATTGCAGCCCTAACAACTCATTAGTCAATTCCTCAGGAACCACTAGCAGCAGTGTCCTCACCCACACCCAGTTAGAGTTGCTTGCCATTTCAACCACAGCCTTTTTTTATTAAGTGTTTTTTTTGTTGTTGTTGTTGGTTCTTTGTTTTGTTTTCAGAGAGGGAGAAGGAGAGAAACATGAACAATCAGAATCATTGATCGGCTGCCTCCTGCATGCCCCATACTGGGAATCAAGCCCCCAATCCAGGCATGTGCCCTTGAATGGAATCAAACCCGGGACCCTTCAGCCCACAGGCCAACACTGTCCACTGAGCCAAACCAGCCAGGGCTCAACCACAGCCTTGTTGATTTTTGCAACCTCATCCTCAACTCCTTTGAAGTCATAGACAGACCTTTTAAGTGTCTCCCAGATGACAGTTAAACACTTCCTGGTGATAATCACCCCAGCCTAAGCAAGGTTCTCAATGCAGTCAGATGTAATCCTTTTCAGAATTGCCTCACCAATAAAAGATTTCCCAGGAGCTTTATCAACAATAAGCAAAACCTTGAAACGTATGTTACTCTCCGAACAGTACTTGATTTTGCTTAGCAGAGCAATTCAGAAGGGCATCTTGGAAGAGGAGCTGGGTCATCCATGACTTTATTGCTTCTGTAATACACTGGCAATGTGTGTTTGTTGATAATGCCTGAAGGCCCTGGAGTTGACACTGCCAGATCACAAAGGGTTTACATTTGTAACCTGCAACACTGCCCCCAAGCAAGATTGTTATTCTGTCCTTTAAAAGCCTTGAAAACAAAAGTAAAATGACTCAGGGCTACAAAGGTAGAAGGTGGAAAATCAGTGGCAGTTATTCCATCCTAGATGAAAGTCCTTTTAGGCATCCATTTCCAGAATAGGGAGTTTTCATCTATATTGAATATTTGCTCTGCCAAGTAATTTTCCACAGTCAGCTTCTCTAGAATTTACATATTTTTTTCTGCTGCCTTCACATCAGCACTGGCAGATTCACCACTTTTGCATTATGTAATGAAGAACAATTCTCGAATTGTTTACCCGGAGATAGCAGTAAATTTAACATCATAGTCTGGTCTAGCCTTTTCTCTCAACATTGCAAACAGGTTTTGTTTTTTGCCATGATCACAATGGCTGAGAAGAATATGCTTTTGTGTCTGGTCTTCTGTCAGGTCATTGCAAGTTTCTCCATGTCTCATGTAGGCCCTTCTTGAATTTTTGTTAGTCTCTGTGCCTTCAAGAAGCAGGTCCTTGCCCTAACTGGTTTGGCTCAGTGGATAGAGCGTCAGCCTGTGGACTGAAGGTCCCAGGTTCGATTCCGGTCAAGGGCATGTACCTTGGTTGCGGGCACATCCCCAGTAGGAGGTGTGTAGGAGGCAGCTGATTGATGTTTCACTCTCATCAATGTTTCTAACTCTCTATTCCTCTCCCTTCCTCTCTGTAAAAAATCAATAAAATATATTTTTTTTAAAAAAAGAAGCAGGTCCTTTACCAGTTTCCACCACTTTGTTCTTTTTCTTCAAGACCAAGGTGGAATGGGACTTGCTTGGTAGGAGAGAGATAACCATGACTGAATTTCTATCTTCGTAGTCCTTAATCACTACTTTTGTTTTCAGGTCATTCACTAGACATGCCCCCTTCTGGCAACATTATTAGTAAATCTCGTACACTAAGGGGCCATGAAGAAGAAAACATGAGTCTTAATCATTTTGTGCTTGATTTCATTAAGAGACATGGTAAACAAGATGTATGAGGCTGCTGCTGACATAATAGCATATAGTTTTACAGCAAACTTTTTAATAGACTATACTCTAAAAATAATGATATAACGTAGTAAATACACGGACCAGTAATATTATCAAGTGTTAATGTACTGTGTAATTGTATGTGCTATACTTTTATGACTGGCATCATAAGTGTTTACACCAGCATTACCACAAACACATTAGGAACGCATTATGTTGTGATGTTGCAATGTCTATGATGTCACTAGGTGGTAGGAATTTTTCAGCTTCATTATAATCTTATGGAACCACTGTTGTATATGGGGTCTGTATGCAGCCCATGACAGTAGTCGATTACAGGTGACATTTTAGAGCAGCAGTTGCCAACCGGTGGTCCGCGGACCACTGGTGGTCTGTGAGGTCCTAGAGGTTGGCGACCGCTGTTTTAGAGTCTTGTGCTTTGGGACCATTATTAAGTAAAATAAGGGTTACTTGACACAAGCACAGTGATACTGTGACAGTCAATTTGATAACAGATGGCTATTAACGAGCCAGCGGGAAGACACCAGATAAAGGGTTGACTCCGCCTAAGCAGGACAGCATGAGATTTCATCACACTACTCAGAATGGCACACAATTTTAAAGATGAATTGCTTATTTCTCTCTGGAATTTTTCATTTAATATTTTCAGACCAGTTGACTGCAGGTAACTGAAACCGTGGAAAGGGACACTGCAGATAAGGGGGACCACAGTAAAACAGTTCTCATGGAAACAAAGTAAAGTCAGAAGTTGGATTCAAGCTGGAAACAAAATGGGTGGAACTGGTCAATCCACTAGCCAATACCACAAGCACGCTAGTCTGACGCACTGCTGTGCTAGGAGACCACACCGTCAAGAAGACATCCTGGAGTCTTCCAATGAGGACAGGTACACCTTTGGATAAGGCCAAAGCTACATTAATGAATTCCTATCTCAATCTAGACTTCACACTGACTCACTTTCTTCTATAAAGTTCGACAATCTCATTGGTTAGAATTAACGGTTCTTAGTTACCACTTTGATACATCTCAGATCTTCTCAATCACCTGGTTTCAAGTGTACATACGTACTTGGCAAGAATTTAAAGGGTAAGCCAATTTCAAATTTTAGGTGGTGTCTTATTCAGCTTTTTATCCATCATAATCATGGCAAATTGGGGCTTGGGCGGGGGAGGCAGGAGAGATGGTCTTATCTACAAAGGTAGAAACACATTTAATTTACTTATTGATTTTGTTATAATAATATTCTCAGAAAATTTGAAACATGGGATATTCATTGGCCTAAACATTTTTTTTTTTTCTGTAAAGGAAAGGCTCTTCACATTAGAAGTAAAAATATTTGTATTTTTAAAAGATCCCATTAAGTTATATACTAACCATTGGTAAGGTATATATGAGCAGAGGGATTTATGGTTGGTGATAGAGTTTTGTTTTTACTTATCACCCCACCCCCAAGTGAAAAAGTATGGTACTTGAAATATTTTATGATTATTTTCAAATTGCCAAGTGCATGTGCCAGTCTGACATACAAAAGTACTTTATTAGTTCCCAAGTAGTTTTTTTCCCCTTTTTATTGAATGCATTTGGGTGATAAACAAAATTATACATGTTTCAAGTGCACAATTCCACAACCCATCATCTGTCTCTATGTTGTGTATACACCACCCCAAGCCAAATCTCCTTCCATCACCATTTATCTCCCTATGCCTTTCACCTCTCCCTCAGCTCAGTCCCCAAATGGTAATATTTTGCAAACATTGAAATTAATGTAAGGCATTTTGACTAATTTCTAAAGTAACAGCATAAAAAGTTATAATTTGTTGAATAGATCTAATGTTTAATCACAAGTGTTGGTGACTATTATTTACAATAACAAGTATGATGCACTGTTAATTTGGTGGCACCTAAACAATGGTCAACAATGGAAATTGTGAAGTAAGCATCTGAGGAACAAAGCTCATGTTTACTAGAAAGAGACACAGTACAGATGCACCTGTATAGAGCAGTGATTCTTAAGGTGGGGGCATGTGTTGTTTTAAAAATCACAACCTTTTTTTCCCCCCACAATGACAGAAAGCCTGTATTTGAATCAATAGTTGTAAATGCTAATATTGACCATGTACTACATACTTATCATGCACTATATAATCACCCTATGAGATTGGTTCAATGATTTAGTCAACACGTGTAGTGACTTGCCCCAAATCACATAGTAAGTGGTGGTGAAGATGGTATTTGAATCCAGACCTACAAGCACTACATTTCAGGCTCTTAGATTCTATGTAACATACTCTGCCTATATACTACAAGAAGAAAAAAGTGAAGTCGCATGAAATCTCAGGTACATGGGCTACCTTCAGTCTGGGGGTGGGAGGTGGAATGACAGGTATTTAAAAGCATACAATAGTTAAGTCAAAACATAAAAATGCCTTTCTGTTGTAACATTTTATGGCAGTCAAAATCTAAGAGAAAGTCATTCTTTAGAAGAAAAAGGAGGTCTTTAACCAGGCTAAGCTTAAAATTCTAAATCGGAATATTTTCTGAGTGACTCCAATCCTATCCTGAGACACCTTTGTTGCAGGGGCAGTGCACCAACAAGGAACGACATTTTACGGACAAGCTATATTGACATTCAAGAGCAAGGCTCCTGGCTCTGAGTTCAAGATGGCAGAGTAGGAAGATCCTCTCATTGACACCAAAACTACAACTATATATAGAACAGCTCTCTGAGAATGACCTGAAGACTAGCAGAGCAGATTTTCCACAGCTATGGATATAAAGGAAAAGCCACATTGAAACAGGTAGGAGGGGTAGAGACTAAGTCTAGTCAGGACCTACCCTACCCCCACTCCCCATGCGGTGACTCACAAGTGGGAGGGATATCACAAATGTGGAGGTTGTCTCCAAAGAGAGAGGGGTCTGAGCCCTAGCCTGGGGGACCTGAACCAGGAAGGGGGGCCCCCATAACACCTGGCTTTCAAAACCAGCAGGGCTTACATCTGGGAGAGCCAAAGGGCTGTAGGTTACGCTCTTTGAGTCCCAGCACAGAGCAGTTTGAAAAGTACCTGGGTCATATGTGACACTGACTAATTTTAGAATGTGTACTGAAAGGACAGGGAACTTTCTCCTAAGGCAGAGATGCTGGCAAGCACCCTTTCTCTAACCTAGCAGGTGCCATTTCTAACACTTTCCATTAACCTTGCTAGCACTGTTGACCCCACCCTGGCATTTCCCTGAGGACCCACCCAAGCCAGCACCCCTCCACAGCAGCTCCGGCGCTGCCACACTAGTGGGCGGCAGCCTCCGTCAGCACCAGCACACAGCACACAGCAGTGTATCTGCAACAGCATGGTCGGGCCTCTCAGCCGGCCACACTGAAGGCTTGTCCTGCACACCAGTGAAGGGCCAGGCCTTACAGCCAGTGGGCCAGGGATCAGCCTCACCTGTCAGTGTGCGTCCATAGAAGTTGTGGCCCAGCCACAACAGGAGGCCACACTAGTCCACCTGGGAACACCTCTGGAGCACTTGGCTCTGGTGACAAGGGTTATTCCACCACTGGGCCCCACAGGACACCTTCTAAATAAGGCCACTTTTTCAAGACCAGAAGATTTAGCTGACCTACCTAATACATAGAAAACAAAGAGGCAAAATGAGGAGAGAAAACAATATGTTTCAATCAAATCAGCAAACAAACAGGATAAAACCCCAGAAAAAGAACTAAATGAAACTGAGGTAAGCTGTCTACTAGATGAAGAGTTCAAAGTAATAGTCATAAAGATGCTCATCAAATTCTGCAGACATGTGGATAAACTCAGTGTTAACTTCAACAGAGATCAAAATGTTTTGTGTGTGTGTGTGTGTTTTTAAAGGACCTATCAGAACTTAAGAATAAGAATATAACAACTGAAATGAAAAATACACCAGAGGGAATCAATAGCAGATCAGTGATTTCTACCATTCAGTCTTCCTGATGGATAGCAATCAGGAAGGACAGGACAGTGGAAATCACCCAATTGGAAGATCAAAAAGAAAAAGAATGAGGATAGCATAAGGGACCTTTGGGACAACATAAAGTGCATTCATATTTGATTCATGGGGGTCCCAGAAGAAGAGAGAAAGGGACAGAAAACCAATATGAGAAAATAATGGCTGAAAACTTACCTATCCTGGGGAAGGAAATAGACATCCATGTCCAGGAAGTGGAGAGAGTCCCAAACAAGATGAATCCAAAGAGACACACGAAGAAAGATTATAATTAAATTGTTAAAAGTTAAAGAGAGAATCTAACAGTAGCAAGAGAAAAACAACTAGTTACATAAAAGGGAATGTCCATAAGACTATCAGCTGACTTTTCAACAGAAACTTTTCAGGCCAGAGGGGAGTGGCATGATATGTTCAACATGATCAAAGGGATAAAACCTACAACCAAGAATACCCAACAAGGTTATCAGAATTAAAGGAGAGATCAAGATTTTCTCAGACAAGCAAAAGGTAAAGGAGTTCATTATCACTAAACTGGCATTACAAGAAATGTTAAAAGGAATTCTTTAAGTGGAAAAGAAATGGCAAAAACTAGAAATATATGGGGAGTTGTAGCTGATTTGGCTCAGTGTATAGAGTGTCGGCCTGCGGACTGAAGGGTCCCAGGTTTGATTCCTGTCAAGGACACATGCCAGGGTTGCAGACTCGACCCCCAGTAGGGGGCGTGCAGGAGGCAGCCAATCAATGATTCTCATCATTGATGTTTCTAACTCTCCCTCTCCCTTCCACTCTGAAAATCAATAAAGATATATTAAAAAAATATATATGATGGAAAAATGTCACCAGTAAAGGCAAACATATTTAGAATATCCCCCCCAAAAAAAATGTATACACACACTTTGAATAATTATAAAGGCAGCATTTATTAAAATACAGTTCATTTTCATAATTGAGATACCAGCTGTTAAAGTATGTATACCTTTTTTGGGGACACCCTATTTTAAAGAACGTAGACCAACCACTTATAAATCTAGTATGAAAACAGTTAAAATTGTGAGAGTGGAAGGATGGAAGGAGGGGAGAGAGAAACATCAATCTGAGACACACCAATTGGTTGCCTCTCACATGCACCCTGACAGGCGCAGGATTGAGCCTGCAACCGAGTTATGTGCCCTTGACTGGGAATCAAACCCAAAACCTTTCGGTTCATGGGTCGATGCTCTAACCACTGAACCAAATCGGCCAGGGCTCACTAATTACTTTAAATGTTAATTGACTAAGTGCTCCCTTAGAAAACAGGGTAACTGAACGGATGAAAAAACAAGACCCATACATATGCTGCCTACATGAGACTCCAGATTGAAATATACACACAGACTGAAAATAAAGGGATGGAAAAGATATTTCATGAAAATAAAAAAGAAGCTGGAATAGCAATACTTATATCAGACAACATAGACTTTAAAACAAAGGCTATAACAAGAGACAAAGAAGGACCCAGTAATTCCACTTTGGGCACTTATCTGAAGAAAATGAAACAATAATTTTAAAAGATATATGCACCCTTATGTTCACTGCAGCATTTTTTACAATATCCACGAAATGGAAGCAACCTAGGTGTTCACCAATAAATGAATGGATAAAGAAGGACACACACACACGAGTATTACTCAACCAGGAAAAAGAGTGAAATCTTGCCATTTATGACAACATGGATAGACCTGGAGGGTATTATGCTAAGTAATATAAATCAGAGAAAGATAAATACTGTATTTCACTTTTTTATGAATGGGATTTTAAAAAACTAAACAAGTGACAAATAAAACAAATAGACTCAGAGATACAGAAAAACCAATAGTTGCCAGAGGGTTGGGCCATGGGGTTGTGGATGACATCCCTTTATGATAAAAATCCTCAGATTGAGTATTGAAGGAACATACCTCAACATAAAGGCCATATATGACAAGGTCACAGCTAACTTCATACTCAATAGTGGGAAATTGAAAACTTTTTCTCTAAGATCAAAAACACTCAAGTTGCAGATAGAAAATTAACCTACAGAAATCAGTTGTATTTCTGTATTAATGCAACATCTGAAAAAATAAAACTGTCCCATTCATAATGAAAATAAAAACCTAGGACTAAGACTATATAACAAAAACTACGACTTTTTTTAAAAAAAAATAAATTGAAGAAGACACAGACATTTTGTGTTCATGGATCAGAAGATTTAATATTATTAAAATGTTTTTATTACCCAAAGCTATCTACAGATTCAATCCCTATCAAAATTCCAATGGCATTCTTCACAGAAATAGGGAAAAAAATCCGAAAATGTCTATGGAACTACAAAAGACAATAGCCAAAGCAAACCTGAGGAAGAACAAATTGGAGGCATCACACTTGCTGATTTCAAACTGTAGTTGACCTTTAAACACCCGCAGGGGTTAGGGGCGCAGAGTAAAAACTTCACATAGCGGCCCTCTGCACTCACTGATTCCCAATTGTGGATTCAAATACAGCCGATCCTCAGCTGGTGTGGGTCAGTTGGTTGAGTGCCATCCAGTGCACCAGGAGGTTGTCCGTTTGATTCCTGGTCAGGGCACATGCCTGGGTTGGGAGCTTGATCCCCTGTAAAGGTGGGCAGGGGGTGGCTGATGGATGTTTCTCTCTCATCATGTTTTCTATCTCTCTCTCTCTCTCCCTGTCTCTGAAATCAATAAAAACATATAACACACAGTTGATTTTTAAAGTCTGTGTATAAGAGGACCCTTGTAGTTCAAGACCACTTTGTTCAAGGGTTAACTGTGTACTACAAAGCTACAGTAATTAAAACAGTGAGGTCTTGCATAAAAATAGACACATAGACCAACAGAATGGAATAGAGAGCCTGCGTATTTAAAACCAGGGAGCCAAGAACACCTCTTCAACAAGTGGTGCTGGGAAAACTGGATAACACTTGCTAAGAAAACAAAATTGGACCCCTATCTTACACCACAAAAATCAGCTCCACATAGATCAGGGACCTAAGATCTGATGCCAGAAAACTCCTAGAAGAAAACAGAAAAGAGATCCTTGGCATTGGTCTGGACAATGCTTTTTATAATAGGACAACAAACGCACAAACAAAAACGTAAAACAATAAATAAAACTACATCAAACTTAAAAGCTTTGGTACAGCAAGAGAAACAACCAACAAATGAAAAGGTAACCTATAGCTTGGCCAGTGTGGCTCAACAGTTGAACATTGGCCTATGAACCAAGAGGTCAGGGTTCAATTCCTGGTCAGGGTACATGCCTAGGTTGCAGGTTCGATCCCAGTGGGGGGGCCTGCAGGAGGCAGCTGATCAATGATTATCATCATGGATGTTTCTATTTCTCTCTCGCTCTCCTTTCCTCTCTGAAGTCAATAAAAAATACTTGTAATAAAGAAAAGGTAAGTCATAGAATGGGAGAAAAAATTTTCAGATCATAAATTGAATAAGGGTTAATATTCAAAATATATAAGGTACTCAGATAACTCAGTAACAACAACAAAAAAACACCCGATCCAATTTAAAAGTGGGCAGAGAAACAAAAATGGGAAATTTTCCAAAGAAGACATTTATATGGCCAACAGTTATATGAACAGATGCTCGACATCAGTAATCATCAGGAAATACAAATCAAAACCACAATGAGATATCACCTCATTCTGGTTAGAATGGCTATTATAAAATAGAGAAGAGATAAGTGTTGGTGAGGATGTGGAGAAATGGGAACCCTGTACACTGTTGATGGGAATAAAACTGTTTTTAGCCACTGCGGAAAATAATATGGAGGTTTGTAAAAAAATTAAAAATAGATTTACCATATGATCCAGCAATTTTATGACTGGGCATATACCCAACAGAAATGAAAACAGGACATCTAAAAGATATATGCATTCGCATGTTAACAGCCATCATATGAAAACAACCTGAATAGCAAAAGAAACAATCAACAAATGACCTCTTTTCTATGTCTTCTTCTAGGAGTGCCTACCAACAGATGAATGAATAAAGAAAATGTGATTATATACACACACAATCAAATATTTATCTAATATATAGACACAAATATAGTCAAAGAAAATAAAGAAACAAAGGAATATGTTCCAAAAGAAAGAACAAAATAAAACTTAAGAGAACGTCCTTAATGAAATGAGAATATGTGATTTACCTGATAAAGAGTTCAAGATAATGGTCATAAAGATGCTCACTGAATTCAGAAGAATGGATAAACACAGAACATCAACAAAGAGATATAAAATACAAAAAAAAGTACAAAATAGAAGTCACAGGGCTAAAGAATACAGTAATTAAACAGGAAAGCACACTAAAGGGGTTCAACAATAGACTAGATGAAGCAGAAGAAAGGACCAGTGAGATCAAAGATAAGGCAGTGGAGCTTATACAATTAGAGAAGGGGAAAAAAAGCAATAAAAAGGTTAAGATAGCTTAAGGGACTTATGGGATAACATCAAGCCAATAAACATTCCCATTCTAGGGGTATCAAAAGAAGAAAAAGAGAAAGGGGCAGAAGAGTTATTCAATTTCTGGTCAGGGCACATACCTAGGTTGTGGGTTTGATCCCCAGTCGAGGTGCATTTAGGAGGCAACTGATCGATGTTTCTCTCTCACATCAATGTTTCTCTCTCTTCCTCTCTCTAAAATCAATAAAAACATCCTTGAATGAGGATTTAAAAAAAATACTCATACAACCCAGAGCAATCTATAGATTCAGTGCAGTCCCTACTAAAATTCCAATGACATTTTTTTATAGCAATAGAAAAATATTGGTCCCAATATCATTGGACCAGGGCCAGGGATTGAGCCTGCAACTGAGGTATGTGCCCTTGACCGGAATCAAACCCAGAACCCTTCAGTCCGTGGGCTGACGCTCTATCCACTGAACCAAACTGGTGCCATGGTCTGCAAACTGCGGCTCGCAAGCCACATGCGGCTTTTTGGCCCCTTGAGGGTGGCTCTTCCACAAAATACCACGTGCGGGCGCACGTACAGTGCGACTGAAACTTCGTGGCCCATGCACAAAAGTCGGTTTTCGGCCTGGGCGAGTCTATTTTGAAGAAGTACTGTTGATATTTGGCTCTGTTGACCAATGAGTTTGCCGACCACTGGGCTAGGGCAATCCTATTTAATTTTAAAATTGAGGCATTTACATACAGTCGGGTACAAAAATCTAAAGAGTACAGCTTTGTGATTTTTAGCCAGTGTTTATAATCGCCATGTAATCACTACCAGATCAAGATACAGAATATCTTCCGCACCCCCGGAGGGCTCCCTTGTGCCTGCACTCGGTTTAATATTCACCCCTCTCCAAGGGTGAGCACTTTCCCTGCGTCTACCAGCATACATTGTGTTAGCTGGTTCTAAGCTTCATAGAAATGAATTCACTCAACATGGACTCTTGTGTTTGGTGTCTATCCAACATTAGTCTGTGAGATCTGTCCTTGCCGTGTGTAGCAGTAGTTTGCCCTTTTTGTTGCAGTATACTATTCCATTGTACGAATATACCGTATTTGCCGGCGTATAAGACGACTGGGCGTATAAGACAACCCCCTAACATTTCCACTCAAAATACAGAGTTTGTTATATACTCGCCGTATAAGACTACCCCCTCTTCCGCACACCTTCCACACACCAAATAAAAGGTAAAACAATATCAGATTTGATTTTAACATTTTAATTTATATTCAAATGCTTATGACATGCAGGAAAACTGTCACAAGGCTGTATGTAATCAAACATATACATAAAACAGTGCAAGTTTATTACCGGTAAACATACAGGTAATTCCAG